ACTCATCCTACTGCAGAGATACTTGTGCAACCATGTTTATTGCTGCTGCTTTCACAATAGCTAAGAAATGGAAATAATCTAAATGTCCCTCAACTGATGACTGGATAATGAAAATGTGGTACATTTACATAATGGAGTTCTACTCAGTAGTAAAGAAAAAAAATCAAATCATGAAATTTGTAGATAAATGGGTGAAACTAGAAACTGTTATACTAAGTAACACAGACTCAGAAAAACAAGTGATTTATGTTGTCTCTCATTCACTCCCAAATCTTAACTCCAAATCCTTAGGTGTGAGTATGTATACTGATGTAACCACAGGAGTCAAGAACATGGAAAGGAACCATGGAAGTAAAGTGGAAGAGGGAGCTGGAGAGAGGGAGATACTAGGAGACAGGTGTTATTAAGGGGGACATGTGGAAAAGAGGAGGATACTTTAACTGGTAAGGGAGTAAGGAGGGTTATAAGAGGGGGGTGAGAGGAGAGATAAATAGCACATAGATGATGTGAAAAACCAGAAGGAAATGAGAACTTGAAGGTAAGACTCTATTGAAGACAGGCCATACTTCAGACACAGGACTTGGACCAATTAAGCTGGAACTGACCTGGACACCTTCTCCTTGAAGACTAGCTCTCATGGTATCAGAGGATACTATACAAGTTGCCAAGGCAGAAAACCAATCAATAATCTTAATAATCTTACCCATCTGTGAAGTCCAATAAACAATAATGATTGACTCATCAAACTGCAGTAGTGACACTTGTATCTTGAGGGCAATCAATAGCTGTCTAATTGAACCTAAGGCTCACTCAGTGTGAGAGAACTTACATGTGGTACTGTAAACATAATCAAATACAAAAGGCTGGAGATGTCATAGATCCTAGAGAAAAACCTACTTTTGCTAAATCCCTAGAACAACTAATTTCCTACTGTATTACAACTATGTGTCCTCATGTTTACAGATAAGTGTAACTTTCACCATTCATCAGAAAAGTATCTTTTTGCAACAGATGGATGCTATTACAGAGTTTAACAACTGCTCAAATCCAGAGAACAAGTGTCTGTGAAATGCCTAGGCTTAAGTGTCACATCTTCAGTGCAACTTCCACATATAAGATGAATGCATCTCTCAACTCTCACCTGATAAGTTTCCTTATGCAACAGATGGTGATTAACAGAGAAACCAACAGCTGGCTAATGCAGAGAGAAAAAGAGGCTGCAGAATGCTTATCCCTAAATAGGACACCTATGTCAAACTTCTGTCTCCCAAGGCTCAAGGATCATTGTGGAAGAGGAGGTGAAAAGGCTGTAAGTGTCAGAGGTGGCAGATGACCACAAGGAAGCAGAGTTTTCCAGACAGCTGGTCAGTTATATATGAACTCACAGCAATGGCGACAACATGCACAAGTCCCATGCAAGCTTAGACAAAATCCCTGCATAGACATGGAGAAGTAGGTAAGAAATCCGAACCTAATCTCAGGAACTTTTGGCAACTGCTGCTGGGAGGGGACAAGAGGGATAGTCTCTTACAGGGCTAAGATTCTTGGTGGGTTAACTAAGCTTTAGTCGATGGACCCACACTGAAGGTAATTTGAGGACACAAATCAGAATCTTTAGGCCAATATACATATATATGTACAGTGCATCAAATTGGGCGGGGGGCAGTAAAGAGGAGGTACTGGTAGTGGAGGGAGTCTAAATATCATCAAATTATATTGCATGAAAATTACAAAAATTCAATAAATATTTAAAAATATATTATATATACACCAGAATTTTGAATAAAGAATTCTATGTTGGAAATTGTTTTCTTTCAGCAATATGATTGTAGCAATCCATTGTCTATTAGATTTCTTTCTTTCTTTCTTTCTTTCTTTCTTTCTTTCTTTCTTTCTTTCTTTCTTTCTTTCTTTCTTTTTCTTTCTTTCTTTCTTTTTCTTTCTTTCTTTCTCTCTTGCTTGCTTGCTTGCTTTTGTTTCTTTTTCTTTTTTTGAAATAGGGTCTCTCCTTAATCTCATTTGGCCTGGAACTCTATGTAGACATGGTTAGCCTATTTTCCTGCCTCTGCCTTCCCAGTGCTGGCATTAAAAGAGTGTGCCACCATGCCTAGCTAGAGTTTATTTCTAATTAGAAAAAAAATGCCATTATGTTCATGCTACCTTAAAAGGAAATATTTCTTGTTATCTGACAATTTTAATATTTTACTTTAATATTCATTTTTCAGCCTTTTGACAATATCTACCTTAATATGACTTAAAAAAAATCTTCCTTGGGGTTTATACTGCTGTTTTTAAGACTGACTTGATACTATTAAGGGTCCTAAAAAATTATAGCCTTTTAGCTCTTTGAAAGCCTTTCCCCCATTCTCTCTCTCCATTTCCCAGGGAATCTTACTACACTCCAAACTTGCTATGCTTGTCCACTGAAGACTCACCTTAAATGTTGGCAGTGCCATGATGGTCGGTAGCACCTGCAAATGTGAGCCAAAATAACCCTCCCTCTTTACATTGCTTCTGTCAGGTATTTTGCATCAGCAACAAAAGTACTAACACGCTCTGTTATGGTGAGTGGATACTGAATTGGTTATTATTTGGGCCTATTGTGTAGAAAGTCTTGAGAACACTCTTGTTTTGGCTTTTCTTTGATCTTTGTGCACACTGGCATGTTCCTGTGGAAATACAGTTTTGAGTAACTCTAGACACCAAAAGTAAGTTCAAGTTGTGTTTGAGTAAATATGGACAAGCCAGTCACAATGGCACATGGCTTTAATCGCACTACTTGGGAGGAAGAGGCAGGTAGAGCTCTGTGAGATCCATGTCAGCCTGTTCTACACAGTGAGTTCTTATATATTGCAAAGTTTATAATATTGCATGAAGTTGATGATACATGTTCATGGACACTTAGAAAGTACAGCCTTTTTGTTTACCATTCTGATGACCATGGAATGCCAATTCATGAAGGGTTTACTTTCACATCTCACTGAGTCTCTCTCTCTCTCTCTCTCTCTCTCTCTCTCTCTCTCTCCCTCCCTCTCGCTCTCTCTGTGATCTGTTGACTGTATGGATATCTTCTATGAAGTGCCTGCTTACTTTTTCCACTTAAAATATATTAAGGCTGCCCTTAAAAAAAACAGATTCTTTATACAATCTGAATGAACACACTGAGCACATCTTTTCACCCCTTCTGTAGCTTCCATTTTGATGTTCTGAACTGGTACCATTTAATAAAGTCTTAATTCTTTTATTGTGCTGTGTTTATTTGGAGACAAGTCTTGGACTTGCAAATCATCCTCCCTCAGTCTCCTGAGTACTGGGATCAGAGGCATGAACCTCCACTCATGGCTAATAAAGACTTAATTGTGAATGTTTTGTAATTACTGCTTTCACTGTCTTGGTCTGAATTTTATTTGCATGATTCACAGCCATAAATAACTTCTATGTTTCACGCTCAACAGCTTATAGTTATGTGTTTTACACTGCTTTCTGAGATCAAGCTCAAACTAGTGTTTTAAAATACAGAACAAGTTGCATTTTCTCCCAGCTGAATAAAGTCCAACATTGATTTTGGGGATTGTATTTTTCCCGTGTAGATAAGTGACGGTGACTAATTTACATGTGACTGTGTTTAACTGAGTTGCATTCCGTTGATCTAGTTGCCTTCCTTTTTCCAATACAAAGCTTTAAATATAAGCCTTGACATCTGCTATGGAAATATTTCATCTTTCTTCTACTTCTTCAGCTTTGTATTAATTATATTTAGTTTTTTTGAATTTATGCACAAATTTAAAAATGAGAATGAGAAAATGAATCACAATAGATATTTGGATGATATGTTAACTGAGAAATTACTGAATCAGGCCACAATGAGAGAACAAATGATTTAGAGTATTTATCTTTCAAATTATAAACATAGCATAACCTTCCACATATTTGGGTTTTCTTTAATTTTTCATAGCAATGTTTGATAGTTTGAAGTGTAGAGGTGTTTGACATTGCTTTGTAGATACACACACATACACACATACACACAAAGATTTTTGAGAGTTTTACATTACTTTAAAATCTCTTTTAGCAGTATCATTATCTAATCATTCATTTTAATATGAAGACATACAGTTTATATTTGTATATAACCCTGAATCCAATTTTTATGTCCATTTTGCTCATCACAATTAGCGTATTTTTATTCAGCTACACATCTACATATTCAAGATACAAAAGAAGGCATTATTGCTATGATTTTTCTTGGTTTGTTGTAATTTAATGGATTCTTTGAGCTAATTCTGTAAATTCTCTATATTATGTCCAGCGACTAATGGCTCTGTTCTCTTTGTCCTCACAAAGGCTTACAACATGTGTCACTGGATTCTGCACACAAGCA